CCTCAGTTCTCAGTGCTGGCGACTCTGTGACTAGAGATGCTTGATTTTTGCTAGATTGTTGCTTGGAAGAAATTCTTTTCACCTACATCCTATTGTTTCATCCCTGAGCCTGCCCTCGCCTGGTCCATGTCACTGTCTTTTTAGTAACAGTTTTATTGAGATACTAGTAGGCCTGTGCATGAATCCGTGCGCCAGTAGGTCGTTGCCACCCTCCTGTAGCTCTCCATCGCCCTCCTGTAGCTCCCTCTGCACCCCCCCCCCCTTAGCTTGTTGCCCTGCCCTTTCCTGTAGCTCTCCTGCCTCCCGCTTGCTTGCTGCCCTGCCCCGTCCTGTAGCTCTCTGCGGCCTTTGTAGCCAGTAGGTCGTTGCCACCCTCCTGTAGCTCCCCCGCCCCCCCCACTACTCTCCCCACTTTCCCTCCTAATAGCTTGCTGCCCTGCCCCCTCCTGTAGCTCTCCACAGCCCACTTGTACCTCCTGGCCCACCCTCCTGCTGATTCGTGATCTGGTTGTGATGCGCTTGGTCGTTACACCTCAGGGCGTAATGGCATATTCCTCTCTTATTATATAGGATAACCCACATGTCATAGTTCCCCCATTTAAGGGTACCATTTAGTGGATTTTCATATATTCACACAGCTGTGCAGCTGTCAGCATCACTGCTATTTAACGTTTTCATCACCTCAAAAAGAAACCATACCCTTTCCTCCTCTTCCCCAGCCCCTGGCAACCACCAATCTACTTTCTGTCTCCATGGCTTTTCCTATTCTCACTTAGCATGTTTTCAAGGTTCATCCATGTTGTAGCATGAATTAGGGTTTAATTCCTTTTTATGGCTGAATTATATTCCGTTGCATGTATATCCTACATTTTGTTTCTCTACTCATCCCCTGATGGACATTTGGGTTTTCTTTTCTACCCTTTGGCTAGTGCGGATAATGCAGCTATGAACATTTGTTACAAGTTTTTGTCTGGACACATGTTTCCATTTCTCTTGGGTATATACGTAGGAGTGGAATTGCTGGATCATAAAGTAACTGTTTAATCTTTTGAGAAACTGCCAACTGTTTCCCAAAGCAGCTACACCATTTTACATTCCCACCGGTATAGGAAGTTCCAGGTTCTTCACATCCTCGCCAAAAGTTGTCATTGTCTATTTGTGGTTTTATTTATTTATTATTATTACAGCCATCCTAGTGGGTGTGAAGTGGTATCTCATTGTGGTTTTGATTTGCATGTTCCAGGTGGCTAATGATATTGAGCAGCTTTTTGTGTGCTTAATAGTCATTTTTGTATCTTCTTTGAGGAAATGTCTATTCAGATCTTGAATTGGATTGTTTGTATTTTTATTTTTAAGTTGAAGTTCATTATATATTCTAGCTTCTAGTCCCTTATCAGATATATAATTTACAAAAATTGTCTACCCTTCTTTGAGTTTTCTTTTTACTTTCTTGTTGATCAAGAAAGTTTTGAAGTGCATCACTGTAAATTGATGATGTCCATTTTATATTTTTTCTATTTTTTTTTGTTTTTTGTGTGTGCTTTTGGTATCATAGCTAAGAAATCATTGCCTAATCTAAAGTTGTGTAGCTTTCCCCCTATACTTTCTTCTAAGAGTTTTATAGTTTTAGCTTTTACATTTAGGTCTTTGGGACATTTTGGATTGATTTTTGTATATGGTGTGAGGTAGGGGTTCCACTCCATTCTCTACATGTGGCTGCCCAGATGCCCAGCACTACTGATGAGTGGCCTTTCCCGTCACTCCTGATAGATAAAGCACAGTGATTCTCTTGGTTGGTGGCATGGCTATGGGGGCCTGGCAGAGCCAGGGCTGTCTTCCTTGGAAGTTGCTGAAATCATGCCATACTTAGTCAAATTCTTGCCTGGAAAGTCTGGCAGCTGGAGAGGTTGGTGGCTCCCTGTCCTCAGTGTATCTTTCAGGACGTATGACTCTGAGCTCCGCTACCCCTGCTACTTGCTGTAACCTCTCCACTTCAAGGCCATGTCTCTCTCTCTCTCTGTCTCTCTCTCTTTTGACATGAGAACCCCCCCCCCTTTTTTTTTTGGTGATGCCTTCTATTAACCACAGAGAACTTGTTCTGAGAAACTTGTGTCAAGACCTTAAGGCTCCCCCAGCCAGGGTCCCTGCCAGCATGTAGAGGAGGCCCCTGCCCGTGCCCACTAGGTGGGGCTGTTGTGATTTGGTGGGTTCTCTACCTGCTGATGTGAGCCAGGACCGATTTGGGACAGTCACCCTCCTGGCCTCTGGTTGTGATTTTCCCACCCTTGACCTGCTCGGGTGGACCCACACAATGAAGCCTTTTCCTAGCTTAGGGAGGGATGAGAGTGAGATGGGGAGGTGGTTCCCCCTTTCCTTTGCCCAGTTGGATTTCAGGTTGTGTATTCCTTATTGTCAAGGCCATTTGGCCTCTGTACCTTGCTGTCTCCTATTGGTGCCCCACCAAGTTGAGTTTTCCACCTCTGGCCATGCCGATGGTTGGGAATACCCATAGAGAAGATGCTGGAGTGTGGGGCAGCCTGGCCTCAGGGCCCCCAGCTGTATCCTGGCACCTTGCCTGGTGCTGGGTGGGTGGGCGGGAGCTTACCCTAAATTCAGACAGTGGGGCGTTTGCACTGGTGGACTGACCCCTCTCTGCAGGGACCTATGGGCTGAGCAATGCGCTGCTGGATACGCCTTGGAGGAAGCTGTGCTTTGGGAAGCGGCTCTTCCTGGAGGCTGTGGAGCGGAGCCAGGCCCTCCCTAAGGAAGTCCTCGTGGCCCAGCTTCTGGACGTGCTCAACAACGAGGAGGCGTGAGTGGGTGGGTCCTGCTGGGGTGAGCAGAGTGTCTCCCCATCACTCTGGCCCTGGGGCAGAGAGGCAGGCAGTCTCTGCTGCCCTGTGAGGCCCGTGGAGGTGACTGGGGCCAGCTCCTCAGCTGAGGGAGAACCTGACAGATATGCTGACACGCTGTCCTCTGCCCCCTCCCACCTGTCCCTGTGGACAGGTAAGGTTCCGATGGGGGC